CTTCATTTGACGTTCTCAAGTTATAAATTTAATTATTCTGAATTTTTAAATCATTAAGAATGACATCAAGTTGTAGATGAATAAATACACGTAACTTGAATCGTGCTTTATGTCAATGATTATTCTTTCTGTGATTATTCTTTCTATGATTATTCTTTCTATGATTATTCTTTCTTTCTTGTTTTTGTTTTTGATTATTCTTTCTTTCTTGTTCTTATTTTTGATTATTCTTTCTGTGATTATTCTTTCTATGATTATTCTTTCTTTTTATTATTCTTTTTTTGATTATTCTTTCTTTGAATAATGCAATTTTCCATTACGTAGGTAGATACTCAACTATTTATCTTCGTTGATGTTCAATATGAATTATTTCATTTTAAGTCTGGTGGGGTTAGCTTATAAAAAAAAAATTCAGACTTTTATAATGTCAGAATTCTTGTAATAATAATAAAATTGCGTACATAAATTTGCATCCGAAAGCACTTTAAAATTGTATTTGTATTTCATATCAAGTATCATCGAAATACAATTTATAGATATTTTCGGAGAAGAAAAAAAAAAAAAAAGTGCACGTGTCATACTAAACTTTCAGAAACAATTATAATGACAAAAGCAACAAAAATATTTTTATCTTCAGATACAGAAGGGTCAAAATAAGATAAAAAAAAAGGAGCAAAAATAAAACAAATATTATACCGTAAAGTATAGTTTACCTGTATCGTTTTAAGGCAGGTAGCGTGGCCGAGTGGTCTAAGGCGCTGGTTTTAGGCACCAGTCTTTCGAGGCGTGGGTTCGAATCCCACCGCTGCCAAAGTGTTTTTTTTCCCCGAAGACTATTATAATATGAATAAAATAAAAAAAAATATCAATTCAATTGTTAAAAGTTAATTTTATTATTATGTAACACTAAAATTTTTCTCTCTATCAGAGAATTTATAAGTGTGTTTTATATATTTGTGCCCTTCCTGTCAGATAATATTTATAAATTTTTAGAGCACAATAATAATTTATAAAGATTAATTATAAAAATTTCAAATTTGAAGCAATTTTTTGATTAAAAATTTAATGTTACCTTAATTCAATTGTATATTTTTATATGTATTCTAATTGTATTATTCTAATTGTATGTTTGATATGATCATTAGATCCTCAAAATACAATTTCTGAATTTTAAAATTTGACATAGTTTAATTATTAAATGAATTAAATTTGCTAAACATTAATTTAATTAAATTTGATAAATATTAATTTAGTTAAATTTGACAAATATTAACTTAATCAAATTTTAATAAATATTAATTAAATTAAATTTGATAAACATTAATTTAGTTAAATTTGATAAATATTAACTTAATCAAATTTTAATAAATATTAATTTAATTAAATTTGATAAATATTAACTTAATTAAATTTTAATAAATATTAATTGTTTATATTATTTTCAGGTATTTCTGGGGAAGAGAGCGGTGAGTATGTTTTTACACTCAAAGAACTTTTTATTATAAACTATTTATTTTGCTAAATAAATTAATACTGAAAGAGTTTAAATATTTAATTAGGGAAGAGAGGGTTGAGTATAATAGCCATAGAAAAAATATTGATAATTATGCATTTTATCACTCAATTTATTTATAATCCTAAAACAAGGGTGCCAACCCAAATGATCTTGCGGGCCACTTTGGAAATGCATCATAATTCCTTGGGCCACATATAAAATTATATATCCCCATATTAGATTTAGACCCACTATAGACAATAGACATTTCTGGAATGGATTAAAAAAGTGAAACAAATTGAGGTTATTATTTTTATGTTTGCTATTATTCTTACATGTAAACATAGATAATATAATAATAATGATACTAAACTCGCATTGCAAAGAAATATAAACTCATGTTTGTGAAAATTGCAACACCATGAAGGAATCGTCATAATTGAATGAAATTTAATACACAGTTGAGTAATAGTGGTACAAATAAATGATTAAATGTTCAAAGCAAACAAACAATAACAAGAGATCGGAATCAGTATTTTGTGTAGCCACCACGCGCTGCAATAAGTGCTGCTATACGACGTGGCATGGAGTAAAACAAATTTTGAATGTCTGCCTGAGGAAGAGCATTCCATATTGTTTGTATACGCACCCAAAGTTCGTCTGCAGAAGCAACAGGACGAGGATCACGAGCGAGACGCCGACCAACGAAATCCCACACATGTTCAATCGGCGACATATCCGGGGAATACGCAGGGCAAGGAAGAAGCTGTACCTGTGGCGTTGCAAAGAAGGATTGAACAGTCCTAGCGATATGAGGGCGGGCATTGTCCTGTTGAAATACAGCGCCTGGCAAGCTTTGAAGGAAGGGAACAGCTTGGGGCCGTAGAACTTCACTGATGTATCGGTTGCTGTTCAGATTGCCCACAATTCTTAGCAATTGAGATCGTCCATGATATGCTATGGCACCCCAGACCATAACTCCAGGTGTTCGTCCACTGTGGCGTTCGATAATGCACTCCGGAAGGTGGCGTTCACCGGCATAGCGTCTGACACGAATGCGGCCATCATGGTACCACAAATTAAAGCGGGATTCGTTAGAAAACACGACATGCTGCCAATCAGCACGCCAGTCTCTATGCTGAGCGGCCCATTGTAGCCGCAGGCGGCGATGGTTTAGCGTGAGAAGGATCCTGTATAAAAGAGTCCTTGCGCGCAGTCCACGCTGCAGCAGACATCTACGAATTGATGAAGCACACAATGAAACACCTGTAGCTATTGACCACTGTGCTGCCAATTGTCTAGAGGAAGCTGTACGGCCCGTCAGCGCCATGCGGACCAGGTGTCTATCATCGCGAGCTGACGTCACATTTCGGGGTCCACTCCCGGATTTCAGAGTTGTCCGACACTCGTCCGTCCACTGCTTCCACCGACGCATCACTGTGCTGCTGTTACGCTGCACACGAGCGGCTACTGCACGATAAGACAATCCAGCTTCACGAAGGCCGATGATTTTCCCCCGTTCAAACTCTGTAAGTTGTTCAAATCTCGCTCCCTTTCGTCGAAGGGGCATAAGTAACGATTGAGCTAACGTTTACCACTAGCAGATAACCACCGATAACCATACAAGCCTCGCTACAGCCGTCTATTTATTCGGATCCATCCGCCGTTCAGAGGGCGCTGCTCAGCATACGCATGAGCTACGGATTTGAAATTCTAATCATTTGCATATCATGCGCTAATTTGAATTTCCTTAAAAATTTCAGCTCACTCGCGTAAGTCCTTCATGGTGTTGCAATTTTCACAAACATGAGTATATAACACTAAAATGAAATATAAAAAATATACAAATATTAATATAATTTTAAAAAAGGAAATCATTACAAAATATTTATTTTACTAGTGCGATATTTGTTTGAGCAAGAATAGTATTTTAAAATCAAAGTTAATTTTTTCTCATAATTTCGACAGTTAACTTTTGAATAAATGGATGCACAAATAATGTATTTTTTTAATACATTGATTTTCACTACTTTTGCCATTATGAAATAAATATTTTTTTCAAAAGTGTAATAATTCTCACGGGCTGGAAAAATGTTCAAGGCGGGCCGATGGTTGGCCACCCCTGTCCTAAATATTGCAATAACTATAACTTATAAACAAATGAAAAGTAAAAAACAATACAAATAAATGCATATATTATTTTGATCAAAAAAAGAAAAATAATAAAATTAATCCTACCAGAGATTCTTCTTAAATAAATATTATTTTATATAAAACTTTATCTACAAATTATAAAGCAACTACAAATGTATGTTCATAAATGTTACAATTTCAGCACAGCCATTTAAATTTCCTCAGAAAAAATTTAAACCTTTAAATCATCTGAGAATAGTTATGTGAAATAAATACATTTATTAAACTCTAATGCGATTTGTATTAATTGAGATATTTATTTTCTAGACATGCCTGGTAAGTACTACACAATATTTTTAAAATTTATATAAATGTCAATTATTAAAATTTTTAAATTGGAGATTTCCATTGAATTTCACAGATAACTTAATTTATTTTCATATTTATTCCTTCAAGCTCCAAAATGTAAGTACCTTGTTTATACAATTATATATATAGCATATTAATAATTGTTATCAACGTATAATATGTTTATAGGCTGGTCAACAGAAGGAAAACATAACACAAAAAAAGAGACGAAATTAAATTGTTGTAAAATTGTTGAAATTAAATAATTGTATGGCGTTTTAATGACATTAGTTTATTCAAATAGTTAATGTTTATATTCTAAAAATTTGCTTTCCTCATTCTTATATAGGGGGTGGTAAAATCACAAAATATGGGGCGTTGGTATTTGGAGTCAAAAGTTATTTTCGCCAAAGTCCGCCAAATAACGGGATGAATTGCAAAAAGTACTAGAAACATGAATTACCACATTCAGTGACTTTCATGGATAGATTGGTATCATTATTGAAATGTATATAACCACGATCTTTTAATATTTATCTGAATCCAACGAAAAAAAAATTGTTTACAAATGATAAACTGAAATTTGTAGACAGATTTAAGTTTTTTAATTATCTCTGTTGTATGGCAATCATGTAATACTCTAACTTAAAGTAATTTTTTATATCTTATTTATCACTTTCACCATTAAGGCTGAAGAGAAATATCAGCCCTAACCTTGGAAGAGATGTAGTGAAAATAGAGTAAAGATACTTCTGATATAGATTTCATTCCCACATTAATTTAGAAAAAAGTCGCAATTTCTAATGCTTATAAAAAAGATGAAGTTTTTAATCATTATTCTAATTTTATAAATGACACACAAATTAATAAACTTTTTTTTTTCTTTTTGAAATAGAAAGAAGAATTGAGTAAGGAATTTTCCGAAATATTTATATAAATTTCATTTTTTTAGAAGTCAGTTAGTAGCATCCAAAAGTATGAATGGTCGCTTTTGGAAATTTCACTGTTCTACAACTAGCCATCTGCCATACCATGTTGAATATATTCTCATTCGATCACCGAAGTGAAGCATCTTTGGGCTCAATCAGTACAAGGGAGGGCGACCACTTGGAATATCGCGTGTCGTTACCCTTAAAAATATGAGCCTGGTGGGCGAGTGACTAGCACTATGATGATCGGTACATAAGGTTTCGGGTTCGAATCTCGGTGGTGCCTATAGGTACTGATGTTTTTAGTGGTTCGTAATCCACTTTAAACAGTAGGTCCCGGTTTAATTAGCCCTAGTGTGCAAAGAGTAACAGTACAGCGACAAACCAAAACCTTGTTACTACAAATAGTAAATTACCAATTATGGATTCAAGGTACATATGCATTAATTAAGTTAAGAATTTTTAAAACGTAATGCTAATTAGGTCAAGTGGACAAGCTAATTGAAACAAAAAATGTGTTAACAAAAAAAAATGTTTTAAAATCCAATTATTTGAAGGCTTTTTATGCAATTTAGTCAAGTATGATGCACCATAAAATAAAATCTTTGTCTTTTACTTTTGCAGCTGATATGGATCCAATATGTAAGTAAAATCTTTTTTTTTTCTTTCTAAATGCATTCTTCTAAATAATTATTATGAAATTATCCATTCAATAGAATTTGGTGTAAAGGAGCTTCGCACCTCACTGCAATAGAATTTCATGAGGGATGGCTAAAAACACATAGCACATATCAAATTTGTAGTTAACACTGAAATATTTGTCAGTGATTTACAATGAATCTTTGTTGAAACTGACGGCAATTGCATGGGTTATCCTTTTTCTTGAGAAAAAACTGTGTATCGTTAGAAAAGTTTAAAACAATTACATCACACATTTTGTATATTGATTTCAGTACATTGTTTAATCATCATGATTTTTAATATTAAATGTAAAAGGCAATGCAATTTTTTGAGATACTTAAGTAGGTTATCTCAAATTTTGGAGGATAAAATATGTATTTCATAAAATATGTTTAGCCTGTCTTTCTCGGTTTAAGTTAAGTATAAAAAAAAAACTTAAGTATTTAGTAAGTGATATAAAAGCCTGTGAAATTGGATAGTTGTAAATAAAATGAATAATTGCAAATAATATAATAAATGTAAACGTGATTTGTCCCTGCATGACTCCATAACTGTTATATAGTATATTTTCTCAGCTGTTATATTTCTCAGTTCCTGGTATAGTCCATATTCCATCTGTAATAGACTATCTGTAATAGTCCATATTCCATCTGTAATCAGATGGAATATCAGACAATCGCTAATTTAATGAGTCTCATTATGCATGATACCGAATATCTGATATCAGATTTGAGTGACAGGTTGTTCTCATTAGTACAAAACACTAAATGCATGTAATATAAATATCCACATTACTATTTATCTGCTGTTAAATTTGAGTTATGGGTTGTTATTATGTACTTGTTAAAGAATATGCATTCCTCTTTCCTGGGAATGAAATGCCAAAACTGTTCCAGTGAAAAAAAAAAAATTGCTACAATATCTACCAAACTTCCGTTTCAATTCAAAAGACAGCAATTTCCAGTAAGATTAGCATTTAACATCACTGTAAATAAGTGACAAGGTCAAACTTTAAGTTACTGCCGTAATAATTTTAAAAAACTCATGACTTATCATTGTCAGTTACATGCAGCTTGATTTAGAATGGGAAACCAAAATAATTCATAAAAATCTATCGACCATATAATGAGATGGCAAATGTAGTTCAAATGCAAGTATAGTAAAAGAATCTGTTAAATAAGTTTGAAATAAAGTGAAAACAAATTTATATAAAAATGATTTTTTTTTCTATGAGAATAAATACAGCTGTATTGAGAATATGATTATTTAGTAGATTTTAGATTTTTATGATTTTAGCATTTAGAGAATAATTTTTTTAAGTCACATTTAATATCAGTTGGCTGGCTTTGTCCGAGATAAGCGGGGGTAGTTCCGGCTAAAGCCTCATTCACACCAAGGCGTTGAGCGGCGAGGCGTAAAATGTCGACGAATCACAAGCCTCAGCGCGTGATATACAAGACTTGTGATAGGCAAATGCTTCACGCATCGCCGTTCAATACCTTGGTGTGAATGCAACTTTATAAGTAATGGATAATTGCATCTATAATTTATTAAAATTGCATTTTATTAACAGATAATAGAAAAAAAAAGCATTTTCATACCATTTCAGTTTAAAAATTATTGCACTTTGAAAAATATAACTTCACAAAATAATTCACATATTTATGGATTCAATATTTATTAAAAGAATATTCATCATTACTTTATATAGTAAAAATGTTGAATTTATTTTTAATTTTAATTAACAATTTATATGTGTGTTATATTACTAACTAATATATATATTACAATTTATATATATTAATTATATATATTACAATTTATATTACTAACTGATTATAAAATATCTTTTTAAATAATTTTTCAGATCAGTTTTATTTTGCTGTCAGTAAGTATTTGAATAGTTAGTTATATCATTTTATTCTTTTTATATGATTGCTTTATATTTTATTAGATCAATTTGGATACTAACTAAAATGCATACAATTATAAACGTTTAAATAATTTTAATTGTAATTTTTTAAAATTTAAACAGCATGCTTTTTGTCATTAGATATATTCAGAATTATCATTAGAAGCAGAAATATTAGTATTATCATTATTCTTGTCATTAGAGATATCAGAAATCATAAGATTTATTATAAAATATACCTTTATTAGCTTTATTATAAAAGATGCCACATGCTTAACAATTCAATTGATGAAACATCGAGGATCGATATAAGTATATTATAAATTGCATATTTATTGTATGGGCCTGAATGGCCAGCGCTCTGGCGCTCGGTACCACAGGTTTCGGGTTCGAGTCCTGGCGGTACCATGGATGTTTGTAGTGGTTCGGAATCCACTTTAAACCGTAGGTCCCGGTCTTAATAGGATAGTAGAGCGTTGCGGGGGCAGTGTTACTCCGCGTCCGTGGCTTATCTTCAAGTAACACGCGCCACCTGGGTAATACAAAGTGAGTAACGTCTGTGCAGCACTTGCCTTAAGGCATCCAACACCAAGCTGTCTAACTGTTTGCCAGCTGCATTAGAAAGAAAAAAAAATTATTGTATACATCGATATATGTTCATCGTATACTTTTATTGTACAAGTATATTGTGATCCCAGATCCGGTCTATTTATATTTTTAATTTTGCTTAGGATTTTAATTCTAATGATCAAGAAATAGTCAACATATTGACAAATTTTCGTTCGCGAATGTTCTATGCAAAAAATTATGAAACAAAGTTTATTTCGTTTGACACAGGTTGAAATTATTTTTTGTACCTAGATATACAGGACGATTATAATTAAAGTCCCACTTACAAAATGCTGTGAAAAAAGAACCATTCATCACAATGAATTCAAATTTGAACTGAAGACACTTGAAGAAGGGGGAAACAGTATGGCATCAAAAAAAAGTTCCAAAAAAGGTTCATCGACTTTTCCCATCCAATTTGGTATGGCCTTGCCTTGGTGGATGAGCCCATCCACAATATCACAATTGTTGAATGACTTAGAAGCCCTTTTCTTGTCAAAAAACAATCAAGTATATTGAACACTACGGTTGGTTTAGTGTGCAACTCATACCAAATACGTTGTCATTTCGATTCAAAATATCACTGACAGCCCTTTCCTTCCCTTTCTTTATGCCGCTTACAGCGCCATCTATTAATACACCTTGGAACTTTTTTTGATGCCGTACCGTTTTCCCTTCTTCAAATATCTTCAGCTCAAATTTGAACTCATTGTGAAGAGTGGCTCTTTTTTACAGCATTTTGAAAGTGGGACTTTAATTATAAACACCCTGTACTTTTTAACACCTAAATATAGAGACTACAATAACCATAATAGTTTCTATACTTAGGAGTTAAAATATATTAATTTCTCTTACTTCCTATATTTTGTATTCCTCTTTAAGGTGGGCTTCCACCAAGTACTAAAATCTCATGCTGTGGAACTCCAGCAATTTAGAAGTTTGAGTGGGAAGGAAATCAAGCTTCCGAATGGCTGGCGATCTATATCATGAGATTTTAACATCCGATGGAAATCCCCTTAAAAAGGTTGAATCTAAATTTACAAAAGTTGATTGAAAAAATGGGTTCTATCATAAAAGAAGATTATTGTATGAAGCCCCTCATTTTAGCAGAACACCTAGCAAGAAAGGTTTTGCTCATAAAATCATTGCACTTATGTTCTCATAATTAAAACGAATTTATTTCAGATTAACTAACATTATTCTTTTTTATAGGTTTTATTTTACAAATGAGATAATATAATGTATTTTATTTTGATAAATATGTTGTACTTCTAGATGCTACTAAAATTAAGGAAAAGAAAACTGCTCAGTATTTCTGGAATCACTTTTATTTCGTAAATCGATTCAATTATTAATTATCAGTTAATTCATACGACTTCTTTATCTGCATTTTAAAGAGTATACACTCAAGAGCCAAAACATTATGAGCACCCCTACATTTTGCAATGAACTCGCCTGGATGACGTGGAAGGCACGTGATCAGGTGGAAGTGGTATTTAACTGCTATTAAGTGGTGGTATTAATCCATGCCAAGGCGGGTTGAAGCTGTGTTGTGCGCCAAAGGTGGGTCAACTCGTTATTAGAGAGGTTTTGCATACCGTATTTTGGACGTCCGTTAGCTTTTTCTCCCTAGCGCGCATGCTCATAGGAAATTGCGCATGCGTATCTGTAATAATATTTTCTATGAGCATGCGCGCTAGGGAGAAAAAGCTAACGGACGTCCAAAATACGGTATGCAAAAACTCTCTATTGACAGGTGGTCATAATGTTTTGGCTCTTGAGTGTATGTAATAATAATAATAACAAAAATATATCTATATATATTCAATATTTTAATAAATTTTTTGTGATTTTTTTTTCTATTAGTAAGTTTCTTGTCTGCCATTGCTGGTAAGTATGAATTGTTTGTTTTCATAATGTTCCTATGCTATACAAGTAAAAATAAATTATTTACCCGTCAAAAATTTACAAGTTATTTAATTTTCAAAAATAAGAT